TATTAGTTGGTAATTTATAGCAATCTCAACAGTAGAGCTGTAAAGAAATAAATATTTTTTGATGGAGTTCAACCAGGTTTTACTGGCAACTTGAATTTATCCATTATCACTTTTACTGGCAACTTGAATCTGGTTATAGGAATCAGTATTTCTATATTCGTCCTTTTTCTTTTTGTACTTAAAGTCGTCTGTTATACGTTGGTAGTATTGTAACCAATTGATTTATTGTACATTGCTTAGTTTGATTAAATTTTTCTATATCTTTGACAAGTACCAAAAATAACCACTTCTCAAAACTATAAATTATAACTAATACAATTCAATTAGTTTATTGAGCGAATAAATAATTTCCTAATTCGCGAGCAGTTCACAGGTTGTTCAATCAAAAAGATTTTTTATTCAATTTTGTATAATATTGTCAGTTTAAAGGAAGCCGAGCAGCTTTATACGAATAATGAAAATGTACCTGATACAGGGACGATAAAGCATCGTGATTTGAATAAAGAATTTTACCATTGCCATTTTGTTGTTTTATTTATTGGTATTCAAAATCAATCCTTTAGCGATATACCAGATACCAAAAATCTTTTACATACTAAACATTCCGGTTAATTTTAGGACTCAGCATTGAATGTTATTAAATTGTATATATCTTTTATACAGGGTTGGAAATCCCAAAGAAAAGAATATACAGTTGACAACGTTGCACAATTTATCCCACTCATTTGTTTGGTAGATGTCACTGCCTTGATTGATCTCTAAAGTTGTGTATCAAAAGACACTAATTTCTGAAAAAACGATATTTGAGTTTGTGACGGGTAGCTCTTTTAGACAACAGACTCATTAAAACTCAGGTTTAAATTAAGGCTGTTTTCGCAGTTATAGCATACTGCGATTTGAAGTGGGCGTATCACTTACTTTTCTACACAGCTTAGTCAGTTTGGATGTTTATTCAGTGGCGCCGGCCCACGGGTTGTTTAATGACAATAAATGCATTATTCCCCATTCAAATTAGTTTTGTCGGAATACTTTTTTTTAGATTAATTATCGTAGATAATGTTTTAAAAATAATTAATCACATTTTAAATTTATATGTCTTAGCTAAACATAGTATTAAATAAAAATTTGTGAAACGTGACTGCAAAAAACACCATGGTGTTTATTTATAATAAATTTAAAATAACATAAGAATATTATTATCAAAAAAATTACAATTTGTTGTCACAAACAAATAAACAATTTCGCAGTTATAGCTTGAAAATTATTTCAATAAGTTATTTATTTGTTAGAGAAAACTGATATTAGCGTAGTAAAAACTAAACAAAAAATATTTTTATTTATCTATAAAAAATTGGTACCTGCGAAACCATCATAATAGTAAATGTATTTATCTGACAAGTATTTCGAGGCGACGCACTGCGAGGAAAAAGTTCTCTGAATGGAATATACATTATTTTAATATATTTATAGGTTGCAGTTACATAAGAAAAGTATCCAATTGATGAATAAAACATAAATCGTGGATAGTTATTTCATCATCATCAGTTACATTACAGCTCGTCATGAGCCAAAGGCTTCTTCAGAAGAATCTTCCATTCGCCCCTGCCTCTGGCAACTTTTTCCATGCTTTAACTCCGATGGATTTTAGATCATCATCTATGTTATCTTGATACCTAAGTTTTGGTCTTCCTCTGGATCGTCTTCCCACTGGTCCTCTTCGGTCGAAAATTTTTCTGATCGTTTCATCTTCATCTCGCCTAATTACATGTCCTATCCATCAAAGGCGTACTAATTTAATAAATTTTACAACGTCAGGTACTACACCTGAAGAAGCATCGTAGTTTACTTTATACGATCTTTTTGGCCAAGCACCATCAGCTATAACGTTTATTAACCCATTTCCGTCGGAATCTACTTCACCAATTTCTTTGGCTAAAGCTAATTCCTCCCGTCCAGCCTCTTCTAAGGAATCACAAAGTGTTTGGCCGATGATATCTGCAACTGTTTCCGTATGTTTTGCATACTGCCTGTAGGACATCACAGGTATATTTAATGCAGCGTGCTGCTGCTGTATGTCTGAATAACCAGAACCATTCAAGTTCAGTGAATTGTTACCAGAATCCTATGTTGCTATCTCCTCTTCAATATTCCACATTTGACATTTAAAAGTCAATGTACTTATCAATCCGTCCATTTTTTCTTTGATAATCTCCATATTAGAAAAGTTGCATGAAAATGGAGAAGGATTATTCAAACCTTGAATAGATTTAATGAAAAAGTTTATGTCCACTATTCTTGAACATTGGTAATATTTTGACCATAAACAAATAATACGTAAGGTCATGAACCCTCTATTTACTTACTTTACGGTAAGTAAATAAAAAAAAAAGTAAAAAGGGTTACTTACGAATCGACACTACCACTAGGTAAAGTTATCTCCAAACTATTTATTAAAGATTATTTGTTGACACATACAAAAAACTGACATTTCGAATTTCAGATATATATATATATATATATATATATATATATATATATATATATATATATATATAAATATATATATATATATATATATATAAATATATAATATATATATATATATATATATATATATATATATATATATATAAGTTAAATAAAAGCTTTTAAAAACGGTTGTAATATAAATAATAAAAAATTACTGCAGTGCAATTGCTCTCCTTTTCCTTGACATAGGACGTTTACTGGGACTCATTTTTTATCTTGTCTCTTATAACTTATATCACTAACCTAATGTAATACTTAAAAATACGCGTAAACTAAAGAACTTTTAACTTATACCACTAAACTAATAATATATTACTTAACATGCACGTAAACTATATAATTTCAATGATTTTCAAAATAAATAAGAATACTGTAAACTGTAAAAACTAAGCAAGTTGATAAAGAAAATACAAGAATGAAAGAACTAAAATGGATTCTAATTCAAGCGAACTAACTGACCGTACCCATAGAGAAATATAAATAAGACCGTACCGTACGCTCATGAGATTTGACGTCACTAATGCGATAACGATCAAGCTCAGCGACAATGATGAGGAACACGTTTCACTATTAGATTTCAGTATTTTTTAGCAATTTTCTTCAAAGTTTGAATACGCTTTTCTCGATTATTACTGGACACAGAAAGGTGAAAAAAGAATAAACGAACACAGAAAAAAAAACTCTTTCAACTGATGGGCGTGAAAAGTTTGGTTATAATAGAACGTTAAACAGTATAATCCAATTTTTCAACAGAAAATTCAAAAAAATAAAAAAAGTAAAACCATCAGTTTAAAGGCAACATAATTTCGTATAACATGTCCAAATTTCGAGACATTTCATCGGTAAATAACAGAGAAAAAATTTTGGTGCACCGATAAAACAGCCTTAAAATAAATATATATTTCAAACAAATAAATAACAAAATAATGTTATATTTAAACCAATAAAAATAAACAACTGCGTTTTATCAAACTCATTAAAAGCGTTAACAAAGGAAGAGGATACATATTGAGAAACAAAAATATCAAAATACTCTCGTTACACAGATGACACAATATGATAGCCCAAGATGACGATAGCCTGCAAAGACTGGTCCAAAGATTTAACATAAGAGCAAAAGAATTTAATTAATATGAGAATCTCATATTAGAAAACTCTTTCAGAAAACTAAAACAATAGAAGTCAGCAAAGAACTAATCAGATGTACGTACAGTGTATAAATAATTGGACACAAAACAGACAGAAATAATGGAATAACCTCATAAGCAGAATAGATGAGACCCGTGTCGTCAAAATAGCAAGAGATGTCACCAATCGGCAGAAATATCAGACAACCGCACAAAAGATGGAGTGACGACCTTCCATAGAGGTGTTAATCCACCAATGAACAAGCAGAATTGCTTATAAAGAAGATGAAGAAAAAAAATAAACTGCCAACAGTCTCAGTGAGATATCACTTCTCAAATTACGGATACCTAAAACCGTTTTTACGAAATTATGAAACTCTTCCGTTGCTATAAAACATGATAAGCAAATGTTTACAAAACAAAGTTGATTAAAAATCTAATAAGCATTGAAGAGTTATTAACCTTCACTTAGTTAATGTCTGCTTTGTAACATTTTAGCGATCCACTTGTGTTAAATATGTAAGTGTTAAAATGTAAGAGTGGGTTAGATGTAAGGCACTAGCTTAAAAGTCATTTTAATGGAAAAGTAGTTATACATTTTTTGGCCTCCTAGGTCTCCAGATTTGACGCCACTCGATTTTTTCTTGTGGGGTTACCTAAAAGAAAAGGCGTATCTTCAAAGCCCATTTACAGATGTTGCCCATTGAAGAATGTGTTCAGAGTCTTACTCATAACATAACAATTACCTGTATTGAAAAAGAAGACAAGACGGATATATTGAGTGGTTACTGAATTGAGGGGAGCTAACAAGGTTTGCTAATTGACAAAAACAAAATGAATTATTATGGTCAAGGCACACATTAACTAATTGAAAAGTTATGAATTCTTCTATTATTATATTTGTAATAAATAAAAATGATTTCGGTATCGGTAATTTGAGAAAAATTTGCAATTTTTTTATTTAATTTGAAGAATTTAATTGCATATTAAAACACGGTTTTTACTTCCAAACAACTTTTCATTATAAGCAATTTTCGGTATTGTCAAATATAGAGGTATTCTACTCTTGATTGAAATTCATATTTTTTAACATACCTCTCATACAATATTGATAAAACTTGATCTGATAGTTGCATAGGTTTTAGATCAATCGGAACCTTTTATGAAAAATATCTTTTCGTAAAATAAATAATAAAAAAGGTTCCCATATCGTTTCAAGTTACGAAGACACACCGCATAATATAATGCAAATCGTAACAAATTAAGTAGTGAAACATGTAGGTTAACAAAATACTTTATTAATATCAATACTTATCTTTTAATATTGTACTATACATTTATATACAAAAAATAACATTTATTTACAATAACTTATTTGATTAGTTTGTACTTTCAACGATTGAAAAGACAAATGAAATACAACCAAAACGAAGGGAGTAACCATGATTCACAATCGCTGAACTCTCCCAGCCTTTCTGCTCATCATCTGAATTGTTCACGCAATGGCATTCAAACCTAAAAATAAACCAATGAAATATTTTACTTACAACATATTGCCAATCCATAAGTGTAATCAAATACAAATCAAAGGCTCTACCCATAGTTTCACGGTAAATTTACATGGTAAATCTTTTCGTGCATCTTGGGACAGGAGAGGACGAATAACTGCGTAAATGATAAAAGAGGTGCAAAGTAAAGAAAAGTCCTGAAGTTTTGTGTAAATTCTATACAAAATCAGTTTAAACACGTTACTCAGGAGTTTTGGTCCAGTCCCTCGCGAATAGTGCCAAAAAGAAATTGTTTAAGTTGTAGCATTTTCAATTTCATTGATTCTTTGAAGTATATTGAAAGCTCCTCGTATAATGAAATATATTAAAAACTCCTTATATATGTTTAAAAAATAAAACGAGGAATTCTTTCCGTTTTTGTTAGTTCGCATCTTTCAAGTTTGAAATACGCATATTTGTCTTGTTGCATTGCTGGAGGTTAATGTAAACCATTTTAAAGTTATTTATTTATTTTAACTTTCTCGGCAATTTGTTTTAATGTTCATTGGAAGCCGCGTTATAATTTCAAATACGTCGCAAAAGGATATTTACGTTCTAATTTCGTTGTTTTGTTTGTCAGCGTTTGTCTTATTTTCAATTTAAGATCGAATTTTTAAATTCGTCATTCATACTCGGGCCTTCGCAGAGTGAGGTGTGAATATTGATTCATACTCGGGCCTTCGTAGTGTTAGGAGGTATGGTTCCACAGATTCTCCATCGAATTTGTGTTCTTCTGTTTTTTTGGTCAATTTCGTGGAAATAAGTAGCAGTAGTCGTGAAATTTTATCCGTCATGAAGTGACCGGCATAAATTGGTGGAGTTTTCGCTCGATGTAATATGTCATTTTAGAAAGAGTGACCACTTTTTCGTTTTTTTTTTTTTGAAGATTTTAAGATGTTTAAAAAGTCTAGTTCCTGATCCTGTTCCAGTCCCCAATGGATGTTTTCGCTGATGATGTCAATACTCCAAAGATGTGACAAGTTTTTTTGTTAAGTGAAAATCAAGGTAACTGTTTTTTTTTGTGTTCAAGATTTAAAGTAGACAGATAATTTTTTTTATAAAATAATTGCTTTCGTTGAAATTTAAAAATTGTTACATATAAAATTGTAAATTTTAGGTTGAGCTGTCAATTTGTGTGCTCAATTTGTGTGCTCCTGGGACGACTGTATGTTGAGCGCAACTCAACAATATTGGCAATATCATTTTAAAGTCGTCTACTTTAAAATGCATAATGTATGTCTGAATTGTCAATATAAATGAGTCAGATAAAATTAAATTATTAGAAGAATTTTTCACTATGTAACAAAAAACAAAATTTGTTTAATTTACTGTTTGTATTTTGAGAACGATTTCCGAAGTGGAAATTGAAACGTCAATAAACGTATTTTTATCTTTAATTGTGGCTTATTCCCAGTTTAATAGTAATTAATTTACAATGCCACAAGAAAATAGCTTCAGAACAATATCATGTTTTATGGTTTGAAATTTTTTTGGTTGTGACATCTGTTTCCTTGAAAAATATTTTGGAAATTTAGAAATAGCGCTTAAATTATAAACTCTAAAATTGTATGCCAAAACTGATTGTCTGATAAAGTTGAATACAAGAATTTAAATAAGAATAAGATATTTTCTATTTAAAAAAATATGTAATTTACCTTTCTGTGCAATCTTTAGCTGACATTTGGCATCTACAGAGAATTTACTCGACCTATTCACTTTCCTCTTTTGATCTATTCGTTCTCTTACTAACAATTCAAAATTGGCACAATTTTCTACCGGTGATCCATTCAAATCTGGACGATTTGTACAATTATTGTTCGAATATAGTACATTGTTTACGTATGTTCCATAAGGCGAATAGTTAATTAATTCATAATGGTTTGTATACTAAAAAAATGATAAAACGCTTTAATGGATAAAGTTCATCGTTATTTCATTTCAATATTTACTTACATCATCATAAAAAATAACGGCATGTTTGGGGACAATATTACTACAAATTCCAAACTTTTCTAGATTCACTTCATTGGCAGATCCTTTTCCTATATTTAATACTCTATATCGCATTGCTATAGCTTCAGGAAAACGCACAGACTTCGTAGGTCTGAAGCCCATAAAACTGGCGTCATGCCTGACATCAGTCGAATCAACCTGTAATAAAAAATTTAATATATTGTAAAAAATATTCTTGTGAATGGTGGTTGTGATGGGTATCTATGGGCCTATTAGACACCGTGACACGGTTTTCTCCGTGTGAAGGCGGGTCACTTTAGTAAAATACCTTAACAGTTTCTCCTGTTCTTCGTAAAAGGCGACAAATTGGAGCAGCTGTCCGCTGACCATTACCTATTGAAATATCTTGTCCCTATGTGATAATAAATACTTTTAACTATCATACGACACGGACCCATACCCTTCATGTACAGTCGCGGTCACGGAATAGTTTACAGGTTCACGTATCTAGGAGCCCATTTTTTAAATTTTTACTTCGTTTAAACGCACCTTTTACGTCAAAGTGACGTTGCCAGTGGTGTACTAGCTAGAATAGGTAGATTAAAATTAAAATATCAAAATATTTTACAAAATGAAAAATATAGAAAACAGTTTTTTGAATAAAATGGATTATGATCTTAATAACGAAAATAAAGAAGTCTTTTTTTTTAATATGCATTTTATTTTAAATCTATTTTATATTAAATAACGATAAACAATGATAAATAATAATTAATATTTGGTGGAAGCCCCATTCTTGTCAATACAATTTTGCAGTCTTCTGTTCATAGATAGCACCAATCCCCTCATGTTATAGTTAACAAGCTCTTCCCATGCCTGCTCAATTGCTTCCCATAATTCAATTCTATTCCGTGGTCTAAGGTTTCTTTCATTTAGTTTCTTTGTTAACTCTGCCCACACATTTTCGACGGGGTTAAAGTCTGCACTACGGGAAGGCCACGGAAGAACATTAACATCAGTTTCTTCTAGCCATTCTCGAACAATTCTACTCGTATGCACCGGGCAATTGTCATGTTGGAAGATAAAGTCGTTGTTGGGGAATCTCTGGATCACCGATGGCAACATTGTGTGCTCAATAATATGTTTGTAATATAATCCTGTTAACTTCTCCTCTACATGATAACAAACGCCCGGGCCTTCGGCACTTATCCATCCCCATACGTTGACAGAGAATCCTCCACTATTTCTTAAATAATGCGTATACTGTTCATCATACCTATGATTTCTCGGCCTATAAACTCTTATTCGACCATTATTATACGACTGAAATACTTTTTCATCGGAAAATACAACCCTGGACCAAAAATTCTCATCGCGGTTTATAAATTCATTACAAAATTCAACTCGTCTCCTCTTGTGATCCTCAGTCAAAAAAGGTTTCCGTGCAGCTACACAATTTAGCAGTCCACTTGCTTTAATTCTTCGACGTGCAGTGCGAATACTGCCTGGAAACGCTGCCTCTTCTCTTGCCTTTTGAGCTGTGGCAAAAGGAGATTCTCTCAAATAATCTACTAACATCTCATCCTGTTGATCTGTGGAAATCTTCTGCCCTCCTGAACCGCCCAACCGTGCTATAGAGTGAAAATTATCCCATCTTTGTTTAATCTTCCATATGCACATATGACTCACGTTCAAATCAGCAGCAACTTGCCTTAGTGACCAACCTTCTTCGAGTTTGGCAATTGCTCTTGCTTTTTGCGCATAATTCAAATGTATTCTAACCATTTTGGAAGAGTTTAATATACTTTTATTTTATTGTTGAACACTCGCGAAAGCATTGACGTTTTGAAATTTTTTGACTTTGACATTTATCAAATCCGTACGACACTGCAATTTTACAGTATTACAATATAAAAAGTAAGGTGTAAACTATTCCGTGACCGCAACTGTACATACTGATAGCCAAACCTATACCCGAGGAGAAAACCTTCACGATTATAAAAACCAGTGGAAGAAACCACTGAAAAAAAAAACAGATATGGGCAATCGGCTATGCATAATCCTAATATACCGCCTTCCCAACATCAAGGTGTAACACCATCGGGCCAAAGGGTGGTGGCGAATCTTGGGGAGAATAGCCTTGGTGGAGTAAGGGCGCACTGTCCGACTGCAGAAATAAGAAAAATAAAAAAGACGGAAGAGGGAGGAAGGAATGAAGGAGAAAGTAGAAGAGGAGGAGTGAAAGAAAGGGTTGAAACTCGAGAGAAGAAAAGCTGGAGGCGAGAAGTGGAAGAAATTGGAGCTAGAAATAGCGCAAGCAGAAGTAGCGAAAAGAACAGGCAAGGAAGAGAGAAACAGTAAACCAAGAGAGAGGAAGAAATAAAGGGAGGAGAAAAGAGAAAGAGGAACGGAAAAAATAAAATGAGGGAGGAGATTCTAAGGAAAGAAGACGAAAGAAAGGAAGAAGAAGCTAGCAGCTCGGACAGCGGAAGCAGCTCTGACGATGAATGGAAAAAGCGGAGGTCAAGAAAAAGTAGACCAAGCAACAGGACAGAAACGACAAGTTCGGAGTAACAGAGACAGTCACTAAACTACAAAGCTAGATTAAAGTTGGAGCGTCTCCAGACAGCGTAGCGGAACTTGAAAAACTCATGAGTAAGGTACCAAATACAAGGCTATCCATAAAGAGGGAGGTCGAATCCTGAGAAATCGGATGTTCGATTATATCGAGGAGGTGGAGGAAAATAAGGAAGAATAGGCACCACGGAAGTCTATATGCATGACATCCACAGACGTACAGATCAACATGGAACCCTCGAAAGTTACGAAAATGGCGACAATGGGGGTTTAAGTAGACCTAGAGAACCCAGAAGCCATTAAAAGAAGAGTAGACGTTATCGCAGATAAGATGGCAACATGGAAGACGAAAAGGAAACAACTATAGAGTTTCTCAATGAAGACTTGCCGGAAGAGGTCTTCACGAGGATCGTAGTAAAAGAGGGAGATATCTCAGAATTAACAGGAGACGTGGCAGTCTTTGTCACCAAGAACGACGAGGACAACAAAGCCATGGAAAAGGACAAAGCAATATTTCCGCAGCTACCAGGTGCTCCAGCGGAGTTGAACGAGAAGGGCGGCCTGGGAACTATGAGAGTTACGATGTCTGCTCATAAAGATGGAACGTGGATCCACAAGGAAGAGTATGGATCCAAAACTTCTCCCAAACAAAAAGGAAGAACCTGTGCCAGTAAAATTCCTGAAAACGTGCAAGCAACTGGTACAGAAGATGGAGGATCTGGGAAGAGAAAACGTGGGAATCCACACGCCGGCAGCATTGGGAGTTGAAACATCGAGGAGAATTATGGAGTGGTCAGACTAAGCTAGGTAAGAAAACAACAAGAAGGTGGGCCAATATCAACACCAAGCCCAAAGAACAAAATGGAGTCATAATCATTAGCAAAACCAAAGAAAATCATTTGTGAATCTAATGACAGAAGGGTCTATTAGACACCACACTCAGTAAAACACAATTTTAATTCCTCTGCCTAGATGAAACTTTCGTAAGGCAAACTTTTGATACTTATGACGAGCAGAATTTATTCGAATATAATAAAAAATAGATATAAAGTGAGTTACTTACCTCGGTAGTATGGAGATTATAAAAATACTTAGAAACAACGGGACATATCATGGCTCTCGCTCTAATGGTCGGTTTAGATTTGGTCTTTTTCTTCGGATTTGAGAACACCCTCGATATCCTATCAATATCGGCTGGAGTCAACAATTCACTCGGATACGTCATGTGACTTAACTTTTCTCGAACGGCTGGCGAAAACATATTGTTCGCAGAAGAGGGTGAGTTTAGTAGTTGTTGAATACGCTGGTAGGCTAGTAGTCTTATCAGTCTATCATCAAGTTGTTTCAGTTCAAACTCAACTAAAATATTATGATCTGTTTATACAAATTTAAAAGCATATGCATATGGTTTCAATATTTTACAATTTAATCGCATTTTAAACAATCCCATATATTCAATACAATCTTGTGCGATCTATCTTACGACGCTCCAAAAGCTAAGCGCTTCTAAATATGATAGGAGCCTTGCAAATATTCCTACTAAATTTCAAGCAGAACGGCTAGCAATAGATCTTTAGGTTTAAATTTAAATTATACATTTATAAATATTTTAAATTCAATAATAAATGTATAACAAATTTTATTTTGAGGATGCAGTCACTTAAGTAGGGCAGGATAAGTAAAACTCTAAAAACATTGTATAAAACTATATAAAAACTTACAACATGAGGTTAAACCATTAAATTATTAAATTCACAAAACATTAATTTTTCCTAAATTATATTTTTATGCAAGTACAATATTTTAATTTTGAATATATTATGACATTGATTAATAATGATGTTTGATATATGTCAGAAAGACACTCGTGTCTGTTTTTAATATTGATAATTAGCTCTAGATTGTTATTATGCTTACGTAAAAAGTGGCGCCAAATATGAATATTTAAATTTTTGAAAATATAGTATTTATAGTCAGAAAATCATATATTAGAAAATTAAAGTATTTTATTAAAGAAAAAAATTTTTTCAAAATTTTACTAATATATCTATTCGAATTTGACAACCGGTAAATTTGAAAGAATAAATCATATATAAAGACTTTAAAGCTATTTAATACTTACAATTATTTGTTAATTTCTTGTAAATTAATGCGAATCTAGTTTCCTAATAACTTGACGCAAGAAATGATTTTTAATTTAACCACTTCGATTGTTTCTGTTTATAAAATGTCAAACTTGTTAATATTTTAGTACGCAACCAACTATACATTGAAGCAGCGTACTCAAAACTTTTAAATTCTTATTCCTGTGACCCAAATTAAATACACTTCATCTAATTTATATAACGATGCACGTCATCGGCGTCATAGCCTGTGGCGTCACATGATACCAACACAAAATATTTAGGGTGTAGGTGTGTTCTTTTTTAGGACCACTTTACTGAGTACACTAACATTACAGCCACTAGACATATTTTATTATATACGCGTAGAAATCATATTTAAAAATTTCTATTAATGTTAACTTGAAGAAATACACAATAATATGTTTCATTTAATTTGTATAAATGCATTATAAAGCGTTTTTATCAAGAACATTTGTTCGGAACACACTGTAACTGTAATCGAACGAAGGTAAAATTTTGGCATAATTTGGTAACACTTATTTGACAGTTGCGGTGTTGACACTTTTTGTACTTCATTATTTTGAATTTTAAAGTAAATATCTCTTGTTTTATATTTTTAACTATCTAATAAAATCTGTTCTTTTTAGAACAAAATTAGTGTGTTTTATTTCAAAAATGTCACGTAAGAATTTAAATAGTCGTTGTAAAGAGATGGTAATACTTTTGCAATAATTATGTAATCTATTTGATTTAAAATGGAGTCAGGATTTTTTTTACTTTGGCAACTATGTCAAATTCGATCTCTGACGTAGATAATGACGTAAGTCGTTATCTAAATTAGATGAAGTATATATTATAATTATTATAAAATGTCGAATCTAACATAAAAATGAAAATAGTTTTCTGATTAAATATCTCAATAAAATTTGCTCGCATTTGTTTAAATTTGGTATTAATGTAATTAAATTGACAACAAAAAACAAATATTACATTTTACAAGTGCATAATCTTCTACCTAAATGGTTAAATAATTCGTTTTTGAATTATTGTCGCCATATATCACAAGTAGAGCTTGTCATTGTGAAGCGATTTTTGATCCACTCTACATTTCTTAAGTTTATTTTCTTTCAAGAATATTGTTAATAGTTCGTAACGACACGATGTAAGAGATTTGTTCATATTCACCTCTAGTTATGCAACACACTATACTATTAGACCAGTGTCTAAGCCTTTAAAAAAGGTAAAGAGTAAAAAAAAATTATAGTAGAATGAAACCAACTGGAAAAGGAAGAGAATATGCTAAAAATGGAAGAAAAAATAAATTCCACTCCATCCGAGGTCGGGAAGTGGTAGGGGGTGAGTTTTTAAGGGTAAAAATCGGTTTATCGCGATTTTCGGCGAAACTACAAGTGCTATGGAAAAAAGTAAATAAGCAAAATTGTAGGTAATAAGAAGATCTACAACTTTTGTATTTACACTTTTTTCACATAACCTCCAAATTTTTGTGGAAAAATTCAAAAAACTAAGTTTTTGATTTTTTATTTTTATCTTTTACAAAAAAAAAATGTTTTTTTTACGAAATTTGGTGAAAACTTGCATTAGTATGTACCAAACACACTGTAATTTTTTGGAATTAAAAAATTTATTTTTTTTACCTGATATTGATTTAATATCAAAAAAGCACCTAATTTTCAATCGAAAATTCACGCGTCAAAATATCAGCATTTTTAAAAAAAAGTCGGTACCCCCTCTGTGGCTCAGTGGTAAGAGCGCCTGCCTTTAAACCTAAAGGTCGTGAGTTCGAATCCCATCTGGGTGGAAATTTTCGTTTATTAAAAAAATTAATAAATGAAAATAATTTCTATCCTTGTGTGATCGGTACACACCGGAGGGACCGCAGACGTTCGGATACAATTAGCGTCTCTTAGCAAAGACAATCACGTCGACTTTGCTAAGTATCAAGCATCGAGCAATAAGACAACAGAGGGAATGTAAAGGTAGTGGGGGTAAACATATTGATAGACAGGAAGTGCCATCTTGAGAGGCCACTTTAGACAAGGATAGACAGTCTCTTTCCTTGTTTAAGAAGTCAAATTTAGTTAGGTTATGTTATTGTTTGTCCCAACTGTCACATGAAATTTTATTTATATTGAATTTTTTTACCAATTGTGTCACTTTTTAGACTATTATAGTTAATATTTAATTAAAACTTTCTCGTCTGAAAAATATTTTATAGCTATTGTTAATAAGTGTTGGAAAATTTAAATTTAGCGCCTTTGCATTTCCGGATATGTCCGCCATCAGAGGCCACTTTTTTGGTCTCCTTTTCATAACGATTAGATTCCCTCTTTTATCTTTTTGCTCGATGGTATCAAGACAATTACTCTACACACACACACACACACACACACACTACACCTCAAAATTGTAAGATTGGCGAATGGATTTAGTGTCCGCAGTCATTTAAACACAAACAAAACAACAAAAAAAGTCGGTGGGCTTTTTGTTCGTTGAAGTCTCTATTTTCCGATAGTGTAAAAAACATACATTACTATGAGAAATGTTCTCAAAAAAACGCAAAAAACGAAGAAAAGTCGAATCGGAAGTTTTTTTTTCATCATGTTCAATTTTGAGATATTTATTAAAATTAATACTGTAATTACTCATTTTGCGTAACATTTCATGGTACATTGGTACAAATAAAAAAACAAACAATTATGTTTATATTTGATAAGACATCTTAATATTAATATGTTTATAATTTTTCTGAAGCTATTTTCTTGTGGCATTTTAACATAATTATTATTTAACTGGGAATAAGCCACAATTAAAGATAAAAATACGTTTATTGACTTTTCAATTTCCACTTCGGAATATAGTTCTCAAAATACAAACAGTAAATTAAACAAATTTTGTTTTTTTGTTACTTAGTGAAAAATTCTTCTAATAATTTAATTTTATCTGACTCATTTATGTGGACAATTCAGACATACATTATGCATTTTAAAGTATACTTCATCTAATTTAGATAACGACTTACGTCATTATCTACGTCAGAGATCGACGTTGACATAGTTGCCAAAATATAAAAAAATCCTGACTCCATTTTAAATAAAATAGATTACATAATTATTGCAAAAGTATTACCATCTCTTTACAACGACTATTTAACTTCTTACGTGACATTTTTGAAATAAAACACACTAATTTTGTTCCAAAAAGAACAAATTTTATTAAATAAGTTAAAATATAAAACAAGTGGTATTCACTTTAAAATTCAAAATAATAAAGTACAAAAAGTGTCAACACCGCAACTGTCAAATAAGTGTTACCAATTTATGCCAAAATTTTACCTTCGTTCGATTACAGTTACAGTGTGTTCCGAACAAATGTTCTTGATAAAAACTCTTTATAATGGATTTATACAAATTAAATGAAACATATTATTGTGTATTTCTTTAAGTTAACATTAATAGAAATTTTAAATATTATTTCTACGCGTATATAACAAAATATGCCTAGTGGCTGTAATGCCAGTGTACTCGGTAAAGTGATTCTAAAAAGAACACACCTAAACCCTAAATATTTCGTGTTGGTATTATGACATCACAGGCTATGACGCCGATGACGTACATCGTTATATAAATTAGATGAAGTGTAGACGACTTTAAAATGATATTGCTAATATAGTTGAGTTGAGCTCCTGGGACAACTTAAAAATAAAAAACCAAAAGGTTTTTTAAAGTTGTCACAAAAATTTTGAGGTTTTGTGAAAAAAGTGTACATACAAAAGTTGTAGATCTTTTTGTTTACCTACAACTTTGCCATTTAACTTTTTTCCATAGCGTTTGTAGTTTCGCCGAAAATCGCGATAAACCGATTTTTACCCTTAAAAACTCACCCCCACCCACTTCTGAGTTCTAAAACTGTTTTCTTGTGACATTAAGTTAAATATCTTATAATATTTATATGTGATTAAAGCACAATTGATTGTAAATAGAATAATTACATTTTACATTCGTTTTTGATCTTTCGATTTTCGATCAGGAATCGTTTTCAAAAAATATAAATTAAGAAATTATGTTAACCTGTAGATGCCTATCTAATAATATTAATATTATAATATTAATTTATATTTTTTAAAAACGATTTGCGCATTGGAAATTGAAATGTCAAAAACAAACGTAAACTCACTGCAATCAATTGTGATTGAATCCCATAAAAATACATTTA